TGTCGGAAGATTGGTCTTGTGATCCTTACTCAGGTACACTCTGAGCTCCACTTCTTGTGGGGGGTACTGCTTGTGAGTCACCTACTTGGAATACACATCTGCATCTACTTGAAGATGGTTACTTGTTGTAACTGTGGTTCCTCTAAATGTGATGCAGATGTGTATTCCAAGTAGGTGACTCACAAGCAGTACTCCCCACCAGAAGCAGACCTTGGAGTATACCTGAGTAAGGCTCGCAAGACCAAAGACCCACCCTTTGTTCCCTCTGTGATGGAGTCTTCCCCTGGCCGTTCAGTGCAAAGGAACTGAAGGGGGATGGGGCGGCACCGCCTTATATAGCCAGGGGAGGGGCTACAGGAATGAGGAGTGAGTGCCGCCTCGCTATGGGTACTGCTAGGCAAAAGTCTCCAACTTCGGCATGCTGGGTGTGCCCACACCTATTTGGAATACACATCTGCATCATATCTAGAAGAACCACAGTTATGCTAAATAAGCATTTCTTTTTCTAGAATGATGGGCCCTCTGCTGGAAAGGTCCTGCCCCAGACATTCAGATATAGGAACTTTAGTATAAGCTTATCTGATGAACTTATCTGCCTTGACAGTGCAAGGGGAGAGAAGCATGTTCCCAGACAGCCAGTACCTAAATCATATAATGACCCAAACATATGAATTACCAAGAGAACTGCCATCTCTTCTGGACACGTTAAATATATTACTGCTTTACTAAAACTCTTTTGATGCCATCTGTTACAATTAAGTTATAGCAATAAATGAGGGAAGATATCAGGTGGTCAGGCAGACTTTTTTTTTAAATTAACAGTACCATATAACACATGGACATAAACAAAATCAATTACAAATTCAATTCTGCATTAGTACTCTCCTGGTGTAACCCATGCTAACACAATGTGGCTTATTGTCCCCTTCTAGTGGTTAGCTCATGTATGGAAACTTATGAGACTGCTATTGCATCTAAGCTAAATTACGTGTTTTGTTAGCTGAAGCTGTATAGACACATGTTTTGTACCAAGGCCCAGGGATTAGTCCTTGTACACAACCTGACCAGGAGTGTCATTTCAAGTATTACAAGTGGTGGCTCATACAGGGACTTGAACAATTGTAGGTCTCTGAAGCTTGCGAGGAATTTCTGTGTTGAGATGGAATGTGTAGCCACACTAACACAATATGTCTCTTTGTTCTCTCTAGTAGCTAGACCAAGTATGGAGATTTGAGTCTGCTACTGGTCCTGAGCTAATGGACTTGGTCCTTTAGCTCAAGTAGAGGCCTATGCTGTTACATCCAGAAGTCCTGAATTTAATCCCTGCATTTGTTTCAACTAGGGTGATCAGATGTCCTGATTTTATAGGGACAGTCCCGATTTTTGGGTCTTTTTCTTATATAGGTTCCTATTACCCCCCACCCTCATCCCGATTTTTCACATTTGCTGTCTGGTCACCCTAGATTCATCAATCATTACACTGGATCTATAATCCTCATTGCCTTGTCAGCCCTCTGAGATCAGTCAGAACTCCTCCAAAATGGCTGTTCTTGCCAGTCTCTTGTGACTCTTATCCTGATTAGGTTAAACTCTGTCCACAAACTTCCAAGAAAACCTGTTTGAGGGATCATGAACCTTTCAAGGTTTACAGTAGCATTAAAGGAGAAAGAAGGAAAATGACATTAGTGTGTTGAATATTCAACCAAGCAAGACTCTTGACACTGCCTTCCAATGCACCCTTCAAACTCTAGATGAAGTCAGTGGGAATTGTAATATTTAAAAAATTTATATCAGGGATAAAAAAAGTATACAATACATTGTGTACTTTATGATGAGTAACTACAGTACTTTTCTATGTGAGGGGAGTAGTACTATTTTATCATTAATGCAATAGGACATAGCTCTGTGGGAGTCCATGTAATTCCATTCAAAGTTCTTAACAGCAGAACTGGACAAACAATAGAAAACATTTTTATGTAAATATTTGCCAAATAATCATCCATTTTGTTTAAATCTATAATTTTAGTCAAAACTTCAAAAATTCAATTTTAACTGCTTTGTAGCAAGTAAAAAAAATCAGATTTTAGTGTGTGAAAAAGTCATCCTGTTTTGGGGGGGATGGGGAGGGTCTGGTGTCAGAATTTGAAATTCTGAAGTCAAATTTTGAAAAGTTTCAATGAGCTCTGCTTAATGAATTTTTGCCCATGATTCTATATGCTATGATTTATGCCATTACCTAGCTTTCTTCGATAACTTTGAGCTACGGTTTCCTGATAACCCTTCGGAGTCTCTTCATATTGCTGATGCCCATTGTTTCCCTAATACAACTACTACATCAATAGGAGTTTTAGTTAGATGAAAAGGTATGCCACTTTGGAGTATGCGAAGACTTGGCACTAAGGAGACCGCGGTTCTCTTTCCAGTCTGCCACTGACTTGATGTGTGACTTTGTGCAGGTCACTTAACTTTTCCCATCCCAACTTTCCCCATTTGGAAAATGCTGATAATGATATCTTTGTAAAGTACTTTAAGATCTCTGGATGATAAGTGTTAATAATATCACTTAGGCTTTTGGGACTCTGATATTTCATGTCTCATGGGGGGACAGATTTAGGGAAAGGTATTGCTGGGCTGTGGAAAGGGCAGGAGATAGATCTCTTGGGCATATTAATTCATCCTGGGTAATAAAGGGAGATGTGAAGTAACCAATCTCTCCTCAAAGAAACAATAGAGGTGAAACTGACCTGTATACTACCCATTGTCAATTTGGAATGTCCTTTTAAGGACTGAAATGCCACATTACTTTTATACCTCTCCCCTTTTCTCCTCCCAAAAACATATACCAGAGTCACATATTTATATGCACTTCTAAGCCAATATTTTGAGATAAGATTCTACATTATAATTAATCATAAATAATAAACCAAAGTAGGTTGAACCATCAAGTCATTTGAGATCAAAATATTAATGTTTCTATTGATTTAACATGACCCCCCCAGCCCCTCGTTGATTTGAAGTGTTGACCCCCCAGGCATTTCTGCTGCAGTTTGCATTGTCGTGGAGATCTTTTAATTGATCTCGTCAGTGTCCCCCGGATTCCTTTCTCTTTGACCTCAGGGTTCCAATGTCTTCAGCTTCTCCGCTAACCCACCCCACAGGGGAGCTCTGCCAAACCTGATCTCCCCGCTTCTGGTCACCCCTCATCCCCAACCTCTTTTATCCTCGTACGGTTAATACGAGTGGTTTCCTACGCGAGTGTATTTGGTCTGTGTACAAGTTATCGCTATTACAGCCTCGGGCAAATTAAGCGGCTAATGAATTTTCTGTCGGCCATGGAAGTGTGCAGCAAGTAATTAAGCTGTGTACTGTGGGGCCGATTAAGCTGCAAGTCACAGCAACCCGAGCCCAATCGCAGCGAGTCAGTCGCGCGTCTGTACTGCCGGCTTTTTGGTGCACAATGGAATCATTGACTATTTATTTACTCTGCACAAGAAGTCTGCTGTTTACTTAATTACAGGAGCTTTTCAGCTCCCAAAAACTAACTCTTTGATGCACTTTGAGGTCCCACCGCCCCCTGGAAACCATCTCATTGATTGCAGCTGGAGATTAAGTTTTTGTCATTTTTAAGCAGTTCTTTTTGGGGGGTAAGCAGCACTTGGTGCGGGGCAACATCTGTAATACTGCAGGTTGCACCCCAGGTAGGAAGCAGAACCCACGGGAAGATAGGACAGCTGGGGAATTCCTCTAAAGCTTCCAGGCATAGCTGAGCTGGAAATCAAGAACGCAAGGGGAAGCTACAGCTAGAAAAGCAGGAGAATTCCTGTAATACTTCCACGCAGGTCTCAAGTGGGAGGCAGAAAACAGAGGGAGAATGGGAAACTCTTGTAATGCTGCATAGGGACCTGAACAGGAGAGAGCAGAATGCAGGGAATTCCTGCAGCGCTGCTTTAAAGCAGGACAGGGCTCGGGCTTGCTGACTGGGCAAGTGGGAAAGGCTCCTTTGTTTCTACAGTTAATTTCTGAGTTTTAGACATATCAGAAGCGAACTCCGGTAATGTTACGGGTCAGGTCGCGTTAAAGAGCAAGTCAGAGAGGGAGATAGTAGATGTTTGGTCAGACCTTCCTATTAGCTGTTCTTTTTGTTTCTTCCTTTCCAGTAATATGGCCTTTAACATCCCAGTTCACTCGTCTAGCCTCTGTATCTTTGTTCCCCTCCCACCTCCCCCGGAGAAATTCGCCTCCACGCCCCTTACATTCTCACTATGCCGGGACTCAACTCCTGCGGAGCGGGGAGGGGGGAGTGCTAGAACTCAGCTCCTTTCCACGTTTAGAACTGTGTATTCAAGCAGGGAGGGCAAGAGAAATCCCTCATGTGGAAGCAATAGGGATGTTGCCAAAGGGAACTAGATTTGTACATTTTAATACCTTCCTCAACCCCAAGACAGCTGCTCTTGAAGAATAAATGCAGATCCTATTCCCACAACAAGCTATAGGTAACTCAGCTTCCTTGCTGGTCTTTTGCACAGAAGGACAGCTTGAGTTCCTTAGCCCTTCAACCCCCTGATTCTTCCCCACCTTCTCCCTTCCCTTTGGCAGCCGTTCAAATCTCGGCGGTTCCAAGCCCGACGTGTGGTATAATCTCCCTTGTGACCGGGGTCGGCTTTATGGTTCTGCGGTGCCCCCAAGCCAAAATGTGGCATCCGGCTCGCGGCCGCCTTTGGCCCCAGCTGCGAGAGCAGAGCTCTGTCCCAGGAGGTGTCTGCAGCAGAGCTTGCACGTGCCTGCGGGGGAGGGACTGGGCCAAAAGAGCAGGGTCACAAGCAGCCACCCGCCTGGCTTGTGCTTGAGGCAGGCTCGGCTGGGGGTGTGAGCGGTGTGTGGGGGGCGCTTCGGGGCCCGGCGGCGGTGGAGCAGGAAAAGGAGCTCTGTGCCTTTAAAGGGCGCTGTGCAGAGCTCCCGGCAGGAGGCGTGTCTCTTTGCTGGGCTGCAGCTGCAGCTGCCGCCGCTGCTTTCACTCGAGCTCCGCGCGCCGGCTGCACCTCGCTCCCACAGCCCGGCCAACTGCTGCGCTACTTTGTGGGCAGCATCAGTCCCGGGCTCTGCCTGCCCCGTGCACACGGCCAGCCCCGCCGAGCACCTGTCTGCAGCGCAAGGTAAGAACTCCACTCCGGGGCAGGACCCCGGCCGCTCTAGGGGCTCGCGCCTCTTTGAGTGTCGTGCTTGGTTATTGGAAGGGGGCGAGCAGAAGGGGGCGGGAGAGATGGCATCCGAGAGCCGCCGGGCTGGTGATTGCACCGGGCATGGTTTGTTGTAAGTGGCATTGTCGGGGTTTCTTTGAACAAATCCAGACCGGCTTGCAGCTGGCTGAGCTGTGCACTGCTGCCTCCCAGATTCCTACGGACTGTCTAGTTATCAGTCATCCAGATGGCAAACCCAGTCCCCCAGGTTAGGGGATATCTGTTGCTTTGGTTCTCTGGCGCTATATAGTCACGATATGCCAGGGCAGAATCCGAATTAGCCTCACAAGCTTGAGGGGTGTAATCTCCTCTTGTGACCCTGCTTACTTCCTTCTCCGGGGTCACGATTTTGTCTTAAAAATACATGAAGTTGCCTTCCTTAGAAAACTAGCCATATGAGGAGAAAGGATGAGACATGTGCTCTAACTTAATAGTGAGAGATCTTGCTGGACAATAGTCTGTACTTCGTCTGATGTCTCATCCCCCTTCTCTCCTCCCTTCCACCGTCCAGTCATTTACTACATTATACAACCAACCGTCTACTCTATGATAGCCAGTCCTGTCGTTATTGATCAAAGATGAAATTCCACATTCATTCTTTGAGAAGCCATCCATTGTTAACCTGGCTAGTGTCTGAGGCTCTCTGCATTCAATGGGAAACATTCCTTTCTGTATCATGTAGTCGTGACTGCTAATACAGCGTGTGCAGTGAAAAGGAAGGAATGTGTTCAAATGAAAAAGCTCCCTTCAGTTTTTTCTTAGAAACTTGTTGGTGGAATAAAGAAAAATCCTTTCCCCACCTTTCCCAGATACTGTGGGGGAAGGGGAGAAGAGGGGAAGTAACAGGGGGAGAAAGCTGATGTATGGGTAAAGCCATAAATGTTTGCTTTTTGCTGCTTAAAAATATGCCAAGGGGTGCATTGCTGTGAAGTCCAAAAGTGCTTGAACAAGTAAATCTATCACATACTCAGTTCGTTAATTAGGATGCACGTCTCTCCAGCAGCTAAAAAATTAATTACCATCTTAAAATGTCATTAATCATCGGCGCAGCAGAAACTTGGTTATAAATCTGGACTAAGCTAATAACAGACAAGGGGGACCTACCGTTTTTATAGCTTGTGGGAGTGGAGTGCAAGTGGGCCGCAATGTGTTTTTAACTGATAACATCAACATTCATTTTAGTACTTTGGCAAACGTTTAAAGGGGTGGACCAGGTTACTGATTTGTCAGCAAATCTGCAATACTTCTGTGTACAGCTCTGGTGGGGTTGGGCAGGTGTTGCAGGAGGCTACTGCTTTCCTCTCACCAGATTGCAACAGCAGGAGGACTCTGGTGGCCGACAAGTCTGATGCGTTTGCAACGATTCACCGAAAAATGTCCAAGGAACAAAGAGTCAAGGACCATATGTCACATGCCGATTCTACATTTCTTTTTGTTATCCTTAGGAGGGAAACAATCAGGAAGTTAAGTGATGTAAGGCCCATGATACAAGCTCTGTGGTCAGTTCTTAGATATGTAGCTATGACCTGATAATGGAAAGAATTGTCTTAAATTGTTGTGGTAAAAATGTATATCCCAGCAGGTGGCAGCTAAGTGGAACTAGATTAACTTTTAGTATAAGTAAAGGACATAAAATATGCTCTGAAGAAGAAAGACTTTGTATAAAAGGTAATCATTTATATGTAATCGCTTAAGGTAATCGTTTAAATGGATAATTTAAACGAATCCCCCTTTCCCTAAGGAAACATTATTTACATAAGATTATTGTATACACAGGGAATACACATAACACACAATAAGTAGGCTTTTAATACCCAGCATAGTTTTTAACGAACTTATGCAATGTCTACTTAGATTGTTTTTGTAGCTGAAACATGAATTTTCATATCTGCTTCACCTGTGCGCTGGCCCTGGACACTAAAAACATGTAGCTACCAGGCGGTGAAGTTGAAGAACAAATCAAGACTTATAACAGGAAACTGAATATTTCAACCTTATTGTGGCAGATTATTGGTATGTGGAGGATAGGATCCCAGTGGACACCAGCTTCAGCTAGCCCTATATCCGAAAAGAATTGAGTAGCATGGTTGACAAGCATTGAAAGACAAGATCAGCTCCCTCAGTAAAATACTGTATAATAGCCGTGTTAATCCTTTAGATGTGTACAATACTGGGAAGGAAAATGCAATGAGGGGTGCTATGGCACTTTTCAGTTTTCATCCTAAAATATTTTAGAAGAGAAACAAGGGTTTTAAAAGGTGTTTAATAAAGGGAAACTGAAATCCTGTTAACAGATGGGAATCTGGACGTGGTGGAGTTGAGGCTTTAGCTAATTATATGTTTTATAAATAGTTTTTAGCCATCAAATGTAGGCAATTTTTTTCACGGAGTTCTAAATATTTGGTGGCTTGCAAAACATTCCTTACCAAAAAGTAAGGGCGCCATGTAAGAATTCTGAGTTAACCACAATCTTCCTGGAGAAAAAGATATTTTCATAAGATACTAGAGAAATGTGTGGTAGGACATAATAAAGGAGATACTTAAGGCAACCCTGTGAAATACCAATAAAAACACAGTCCAGCCAACATAGTAAAGAATAGAGTGCATCTTTAAAAGTGTGAATAAAATACATTAATTCCCTTTCTGTATTGGGAAACCATTGAAGGGGGGAAATGTATTTTGACACTTAAAATGACACACGGCTTTGGTAATATAGCTCAACAGCAATGATGCTTAAGGAGTGGTGCTCTCCGTGGTGCTGAAAAGGGAATGCAGCCCTCCTATCGCCACTGTATTTCAGCTGGACTGGTCCAGGTGCTGTCCATGGTGGTGAGTGCTGTCAGGTTAGTGTTGGACGGTTATTGAGGGTGAAAAGAAAGTTAATTTGAGTGTCATGCATGTGCACAGGTTTTGGAATGTAGAATATTGAGCATGTAATTTTAAAAGCCATTTATAATAGATGGTTTTGAAGTTTCAGTGCTTGTATAAGAGCCTTGGCAAATTGGGAATTTTGTTAGTCTTTTATTACAGGTAGCTGCATATTTATCCAGGTAGTGTAGAAAATAAGTTTGGATAACAGATGGTTAAAATAGTTTATTTTCATTTCTTGATTAATGCGCTACATTTGCAAAAAAAGACAATGAATCTTATAATTTTCCATGCTTTTTAAAAGTTCAGTCTATAAATAGTGCTAGATTCTGATAATTAGCAGCACAATGAGCATTTGAAGATGCCTAACCTCCGCTAATTCATCACTGTAGCAAAATTAAGAATGCACAGTTACCACGCAGGTCAGTTTTATTCCTCCTTGGACCAAGATAAGATACGAACAAGTAGATCAGAGTAAATGAAACAGCAAATACATGAAAGAGCACCTCAAACTGTACATTTTCCTGAGAGAGATTCTAAATGGGAACTGAAGGAGTCGCTAGATATCCTTGCTTTTAGCACTAGGTGTTCTTTTTAGAGTACTCCAATAGTCAGATCATTTGATTGAATTGCCTGCTAGACTGCAGAACTAGCCATTCATGATACTTATTTTTGACACTGCAGTTATGCCTCCATTTTAAAGACCAGAAATCAGTAATGTTTAATAATCCCCTCGCAGAATATAAATTTCTTTTCATCAGCATTTTTACAATATCTGAAGAAGATCTGGTCAGAGAAAATCAGTAACCCATAAGGGTAGAAAGTTATTGTGAATTGTTAACGCTTTTAGGAACACATGGTCTCTTGATTATAGGCAATTTCAATTTTAATATCACTTATTCTGCATGTCTAAAGTATGCATAGCATTATTAAGAATTAACTATAACTCACGTCTGTGTTGCTACACTCCTGATAGATCCAAGAATGTGTTTCTTCAGTCTGATGTTCTGTAAAGCCAAGTCTATGCTGTCTTCATCTGTGATAAAAATCTCTCTCACTGAGATTTTCTTCGGCAATAAAGAGAGGGCAGACCCTAGGCAGAATACAGATTAATCTGCATTCATTTTCCTTGTGGGGTACTAGGAATGGTCTTTTAATATCTATAATAAAAAAACCTCAAATAGCTTCAGTGAAAGCTTCACTTTCAGATTTTTTTTTAAATTGCTGTCCATTCTTGGCCAATGTGTTTTAATGAATGCACATAGGAGCGAATACACAATTTAAAGCATCTTGATTGTATTACCAAGGAAAATCTGAAATGTTGCCGAGAATGAATGCACCTTTATATGGAATACATTAGGAAAAGAAAAGAAAAAAGTCCAGAGCTGTTTGAGAATGCAAACTAAATGTCCCAGAAGCAAACTACCAAGTACTGTTATACTTACTAAGGATAGTGGACTATTATATGTGTTTAGACTACAGTCCCATTTTAAGCATAGGTCTCGCTATGCAAGTATAAAAAGCAGAACCTTAATAAAACCACAGTGAAAGAGAGTTTAGTGCCAAAGATAGAGAGGCATTTTGGAGTGTAGAACATGAAACATGTAAATCCACACATCCTCTCTTTCAAATGGCATAGTCGTTTCAACCAAACTGAGCGAAATGAATATGTAGGACTTTCAATTCAGCATTAGATTTATTTATTTTTTGAACACTGCACAATTGTTCTGTACTTTGCTAAAGCTTGGATGTTCGGTGATCAAAGTCCGCTACAAGTTGCCAAAAGATAGTCAGTATACAAGTCATCACGTTTACATTAATAGCAGTAAATGTACATAAGTAATAAAAAGCGAATTAAACTATTGGGACCCTTTTAGCCTAAGCCTTAGCCTGATACTGATACCCTTCATGACATACTGTCACCCCTTGTAATACCTCCTCTTTCAGAACTCCGAGGCTAAGTGATTTCCACCTAGCTAGTCAGCTGTTAAAATTCATGAGCTGATTTTGATAGACCCGCGCGCGCACGTACACCATAGCTGCCCCTTTGCAGGAAAATAGCTATTGTTGAAAATAAACACATAATAGTTGTACGCACGTAAATAAAACGGAGCTCATTTTTCAACAACGCGAGGCGATCGGGTCGGTTGCATGGCAGAAATTGGGAAGGCTGCCTGGCAGACAGCCTTAAGAAGCGAAGAGCTATCTCAATTTTTCTCACTTAATCTTGGCTTCACGTCAGAAGCTGTGCAGCAGTGCAGTAGAATGGGAGCACAGCAAAAGCTTCGCCACTAAAACGCCTGGAGCTCGTTGACTCTCGCTATGTGGCGATAGCTCAGCGATTTCTCGAACTGGATTACTTATTGATTTCCCTCCTTTCTTGCCTCCCAGGTTTACCCGGCTGGACATTGTGTGTTTGGATTTCGCAAGGATTCTCCCCCGACTAACATGGATGTCCCACCATTCCTTGCAGTTGAAGGTTGCTCCTTGGCGCAGTGAATGAAGAACATGCAGGGATTGCTAATGGGTTTGGGAAGCGTAGACTCTCTCCTCTCTCTGTGACCATGCCGTGATCGTGTCTGAGGGCTAACAGTCTACGTATCCTCATTCTTACCCTACCGGGGAACCTGACGCTTATAAGGGGGAAGTAAGGCAGCGCGTGTGTGCATTGAAACACCATGAAGATTATTTCCCCGATTCTAACTAATCCAGTCTTCAGATGCACCATTAGACTCCTTCTTTGCTTACTGTGGATTGGATATTCTCAAGGAACTACACATGTATTAAGATTTGGTAAGATTTCCCCCGCACTTTACATTGTGTATTTCAGGCTGAATAGTTATATGCACAATTATGTCAATAGATGGGGAGCGGGGAGAGAGACGAGGCTCTGGGGGATACTATTGGAGTCAGTTACCGAAGACCCTCTTTATTTTGTGTCCGCATGGCTAAACTAATGTTTGTTTTTGTGTCGCCGATGATAGTAATAATAGGGGAAAATGACTGGCAAACGTGCTTCCCGGAAGCTCTGCGGGGTGATCAGAGCTTGTGTGGCTTCCTCGTGCTGTGCCTTTTTTGTTTCCATAGCAGTAGGAAACGCGGCTAAAATAGCTGTTGATTAGTTAAAAATCTGACAACTACTTGGTAAGTTTCGACCTATAGCTTTTCCAGTTGGAGCTTCAGGGCAGATTCAATATTAATGTGACCCTGGAAGAGACCTTCAGTTCTGTTGTTCTTGAAAGATCTTTTAGTTTACTTTAGTGGTGATTCCGCTGTAGTAGAACAGATTCTTTATTAACAATTAGTGGGATACCAAAGAGGCATCGATGCAGGGCTATGACACATTTCAGAAAAGCTCCTCTCATCAGGGAAAGTGACTTGGTAATTATTTCCACTGTAAGACAAAGAGACTGAGAGATGTCATAGGCAGATCAGTGAAAATTTCAGTGAAAGCAAGCATAGCGGTTTCCCAGATCAAAGAAACCCTCAGCGTCTCGTGGAAACTAGTATTAAAAACCGGGTGTGAAATTTCTGTTAGAAAGCCTCCCACATATAGGGTTGGTGAGGGGAGCAGAAACAAGAGGAATGTTCAACAACAGCTCGAAGCTCATGTTGTTTCCTGCCTTTGGGGCAGAGCTGGGCATGAAAAGTTCTGCAAAGTAGATAAGAGTTAAGGTGGTGAGAATTGCGAAGAGCACTGATCAATTCAATCGCCAGCCTAAGTGGTACTACCTTACTTAGTGTTTGTGTGTGGAAAAGTTGCAGTGCCAAGCAAGCGGCATCCTGTGTGCCAGCTTGTTACCTATGCAAAAGAAAATGCTGCTTTTCCTTTTCTGTATCTGCATTGTTTACACTGTAGCAATTGCAGGAGCCATTAACAGCTCTCGTTTGCTTGGGAAAGGTAGAATGTCTTGCATTTCTTTAAAAAAATCATTTTCATGTTGAAGGAAGGCTGGTAATGATTAAAAAGGCGACGGGCTGTTATTGATCTCCTGTGCTGAATTCCTAGTGTACTTTCTTCTGCCTTCATCTGGTCTAAAGGTGGTGCTTAAGGCCCGTTGCTGTTAGCAACCATCTTCAGGAATGCTTGTTTCTTTGGACACGGCCAAACAGGTCCATATATCATCGCGGGGTTTATTTTGCATTGAATCGGCTCCGTTGCCATTGCAGTGCAATCATGCAATGACTGAATGTCGTCTGGCGCTGCCCAGTTATCCGTCTGTACCCGAAACAGGTTCACAATTGTTGCTGAGCGTTGGTATCTATGCGTTTGAATTACTGTCAGAGGTAGCTATGAAAACAGGCACCCTTCCATTCCCACTATCGCCAAACGCTGATCTGTGGGTTAATTCAAGCTGTCCTCGTCAGTAACAGCATCCGTGTTGAATTATGAGGCTGGAACACTTATTAGAATATCATTGATCAACCTGTGTTTTTATATTAGAAAAATAAGACTCTTAAGGTCACAGCGGGGTTTTATTGGGTTCCTTTCCCAAAGGGCTGCCACTTGGCGGCATGTAGTGTGTTTTTCTAGACTAACTTCCTTTCCCGGTCTGTCTCCGGGACAGACATCTCGGTTTTGGGGTTAGACTCCGATGGTTGGTGTTCACACTGGTTTGTTGCAACAAACTAGAAAGACACTTCGGAACCATTTGGTGCCTTTCCGTGCTTAAAAAGTCGCCTTTCCTCTCGGTCTCTGCGGGTTGGGGGAGGGGCGGCAAAGTTATTTTTGTTTATTTCTCGTGTGGAGTCCTGGGAGTGAGGGAAAGGGCTTATTTTTGCTTGTCAGAGTGGCCTGTTGCATGTCTCTCATTGTGATCCAGTTTAGCTTTTAATTTAGTCCAGGAGTAAAACTGCCCTTATTCTGAATGTAAGAGAAGGGCTGTGCATTCCCAGGAGGGTTAGATCATTTGGCTGGGGGAAGCCGGGAATAACAATTGTGTACTGAAAATATGAATTATTTCAAGTGGTAATCATATCGCGCTCCCCTCTCCCCGCCTTCTCCCTCCCCGGCCTCAGTTCCCACCGTGCTACATGCCACTCCGAAATGTCCTTGCTACTGAACTGATGGGTCGCCTGTTGTTGCCCATCGGAGTTCTTCCTGGGTCTAGGCAGGAGCGCAGAAGATTCCCTTTAAAAGGCAGCCTGCCACCCCCGCTTTTCCTTCGCAGCTAGCAGCGCTATGGCAACAGGGGAGATCTTGTAGCTTGCCAGAGTTCCAGCCCCCTCATTCCTCCTGTGCAAATGAACCCACCATGGAGTCGCATTGTCCTTCCCACGGCTGTGCCATTGTTGAGACTAGCCGGCCAGTCCTGTCAGCCTCTCTCTCTCTCTCTCCAAGCTACCTTTCAGCAACAGCACAGGAAAGCCGAACGCCCGGGTTATTTGTCATAGGCAGACTCATTTTTACCCACGTGCTTTGGATCGAACCCAGGAAAGGCTGATGTGCTACCATAACTAACTCTCTAGTAACATTAAGTCAACCTAGTCTTTACCTACCCAGGCCAGTTGCAGGAAAAATGTCTGCGTGGATTTCTGACTCCTGTTGCTGGAGCAGGACCAGCTGATATTTTGGCACAGCAATAAAGCGATCCCTTGTAAATGGCATACAGCCAACTCTCTCATTGCAGTTCCCGAATACTTTCCTATACACAAGCCCGGAAAACAATAGGCACGAGGCTTGCACCCACTGTAGTCAAGGATTTGAAAGAGAATTAAGGCGAGGCACTGAAAATATTATTGTGATTATAACACGAGGTTCTAGACTTAGAATAAAAGGAGAGGCCAGGACGGTGTTTTATCATTTGCATCACTGTTGTCTCCGCTGTGTTAAGTCTAACTCTGGCAGAAAACCATACCTTAGCTCTTGGGGTTGCACAAAAGCAGAAATGCACAGGTAAGTCGGTCCGTGGATCACTTTTTAAATGTACTGTTGATTTATAAGAAAAGCAGGTCCTATAACCTGAAACAAACACACCTCTGTGCACATCATTAAGCCACTCCGTAAATCAGCCCGCCCTCACCGCCATACACGATGGTCTAATCTTTCCATCACTATCTTTACCTGTATTTGTTTGCCCACAGCAGCCTACTTACCCGCAAGAGCGGGGTTACTGCGTTAGTGAGAGCCCCAGACCAAAGCGTTTCAGGACTAAGATAAGCAACTTCGGCTGGTGCTGAGTTTAGATGCTTCTACCACTGATTTTTTAAATGTCCACGATATTTTCCTAGTGCACAATCACCTCCCCGGGTCCCCTCTTCAAAGCACCACAAGCTGATCAGAAACAAGCAGTGTTTAAGAATCAGAGTCCTCTGGTTCTAACAAAACAAAACAGGACAAAGGAGCTAGGAGGTAGCAGAAATCCTGGTGTAAAAGCAGCGCCCAGCAAGTACTGTTAGTGCTAAGAGGTTAAATACTACAACTATATACAGTATATAATAACAGTAACACTCTCCAGTGTGGTATGCGATAATGGAACATTTAAAAACCTTGGGCTACTTCAAATAACCTATTTTAGATGTTTTGAGCATTTTAAAATGCCCCGTCTTATTTAAATCGCACCTTTCAGGATTTCTAATTCATGCTAGGCCCTTCCTATATTTAAGAGCAGGAATCTGAAGCCAGACATCATCAGCCTGACAACTGGCTAGAATTTGGTCACTTGGGATTAATTTACATTTCCCCTAATTACAAGCACTGTGCGGGAATGTATATTGAAGACACAAAGCTCTGAACCATGACTAGTCCCTTGACCTTATGTCACTCCCTCTCTCTCCTCTTTATTTTCAATATCAGTGTAAAAACAAACCTTCAAGGAAATGAAATCACAAAATGCCACTTCTACATACACAAACGAAAGGAAGGCTGAGAATCAGGACTACAACTCCCTATAGAAAGTGACCTTCTGTTGTTCAGATGTTGTGGGTGTCTCCAATAAAAACAGATTTCAAGCCTATGGGTAGAGTTAGCTGAATTTTGTGGTTAGTTACTCTTCTAAATTTAATTGCACAGATTCTTTCCCCTGTGGGTGCAAAAGCAAAGGAAGGTCCAACTCTCTCTCTAAGGGAATGCGGTAGAACTAGGAACTGTCAGAACTTCAGGTTGAACTCTGAAAAGCAACTAAACTGAGACCGGGAAAGCATAGGGAATATTGATCCGTTCCCTTATCAGCTCCTTCAAGTGTTACATTTGCCTGTTTGCCCTAAATCAAATTGGGGAAAATATGTCCAGAAAACAATTGAAAGTGGTTTTATTGTCTTAAAAATAAAAAGGAAAACTCACCTTATTTTTGGTCTCTTTTCTAATGGCTCCCAGTGACAGGAATTACTGCACAGCAGGGGCTTCTTCAAATGAAGATTTGGCATTTGGGCTTCATCTCCGTTATTGCTTCGTTATGTTCATTCCCAGTGAGCCAAATGAGTCTCTTTTCATAGAAACTTTTACCACGCGCCAGAATAAATAAGACACTACGTGGCCAGAAGCTGGAATTAGCTCCCAGTGCCATCGCGGATGGCCAACTGTGTATTACCGACCGTTTTGCCAGACCATCGTTAAAACTAGCAAAGACACTAGGTAGCATACAGGGAAAGCTGGCTTTCTGGACACTGGGATCATATAGTTTGCAGGCTCCCCAGACATACATTTATACCTCTCGGGCAATAGTGTTTTACTGCTTTGTACTCTGTGTTAGTCGTCTCGAGTGTGGAGTTTCTTTCCATTTGATTCCTCTTCCGCCGACATGACTGTACTGTACGTTGCTATTGCAATCCTCAAACTGGGAAGGTAAAGTCAG